TCTCTCTCTCTCTCTCTCTCTCTCTCTCTCTCTCTCTCTCTGAGGCACAAATACAACCTCACAAAACCTGCATTGTAATGTTTAATTAATGGATTTATAAACTTTGCCAAAATTGAAGCAAAACATATGAATGGTCGATTCATCTGAGTCTGTAAAAATGCAGGGACGAGATCCAACGCATCAAATCTGTGAATCCTGATATATCCCACAGAGAGGCCTTCAGTGCAGCTGCTAAGAATGTAAAATATTTTCCTATAGGCTTACTTCTTCTTTACCAAATTAGGGTTTTTGCTTTTCGTTATTACTGTCTTGTGGGGTCCTTTGGTATGTGAACCTCTTAATTTTCCTTTCCTTTTTGTCAGTGGGCCCACTTTCCACACATTCACTTTGGTCTCATGCCTGACCAGACTGTGAAGAAGACAAACGTGCGCCAGCAGGTTATTTACCCCCCTCCCCTCCCCTCCATGCAGTACAATTAACCCTCTTCATCTGATTTTCCAAATTGGCACACAAATTTCTATGCTAGATTAATATTTTAATTAATTTCTTGGGCCTTTTGGATTTGTGCAGGAAGGAGAGGATGTTCTGATGAAAGATGGGTTTTTTGCTTCAGCTAATAACGTTCGTGTCTCTCCTTACTAAGTGAGAACTGCAAGCTGCAAGCTGCAAGCTGCTGCAGCTTTGATGTGTTTGTTGTGGTGGTGGAAGAAAAGCAGAATTGTGATGATGCCTAAAGTCTAAAATTAATTTCTTCACAACGGCCATATGTTGATAACTATTTAGATGTAGGCTTAAGATTTTAATATCTACAGTTTGGTTAAAAGAAAAACCCTTGTATTTTGAAGACTTTATTATCCTTTAATTATTATGTTATGGTAATATATAGCTCACCAGTGTTGCTAGATGCTGGCCAATCAACTATTTCTCCATGCATATATCTTGTTGATTTAAATGTGTTTATTTAGCTTTGCATATATACTTGTTTGTTTCTTTGATCTGTGCTATCACGTCACACACACAGAAATTAGCAAGAGCCCTAATAGTTTCTTATACTTTTTTACTGAATCCATCTTTGTCTTGATCTCATAATCTATATGCATATGCAATTGTAAATGTATGCTGCTTCTTGGTAATCCCATAAAAATATAAATAATGTCTACTTAATTTCTGTGGAGAAATTTGTTTTACATCATGTCATGTAAAGCATGTTTTGTGCGAACAAATTTTTTTTGATGTACTGAAATGATATGTTCTCCATATTTCTCAGCAAGAGTATGCCTAAGTCAAGCTCATGTTTTTTACTTATAAAAAAGATAACTTCATTGACTAAGCCAAAATCAGGATACAACATAAGAAATCTGAATGGCCGGAGGAGCAAAATGTGGCCTCATTAAAACCTTGTCATAAACAAACCCCAATATGGAGAAAAATCCGGTCAAGAAAAAGTAATACCACCACTCCTCCCCAATACGAATTCATGTTAAACTAACTAAAGTTATCACAAAATATCATAAGTCACTAGTTTCAGTCAAAACAAAGAAATTCTCAATGTTGATTAATTAAGCACATTAATCTTATTTATGCTATTTTATCCATGACATTCCTCAGCCAAAAAACAAAGGACCATGTAAAGGTGTGGTGCATGTGTTTCTACAAACGTTATTTTGTTTTACATATGAAGAACCAGAAATTGCAGGATTTTTCATTGGATTTGTCGCCTTAGTGTTCAAATAAAAGAAAGGGCAAAAAAAAAATAATAAAAAAATAAAAAAAATTGTCTCCTTATGTTTTTGCCTCCTTATTTTGCAATCATTTAAGATTGTGGACGTGCATTTTGGCCCCTAGCTCCATCGGATCGGGCAATGTAGGTAATTAAACAGTAACCCTAATGCCAATCGTACCTTCACATGTTAAAATGTGGCCACGCGGCTGAATGTTGTTCACCACATGCATGCTTAGCTTGGGTATGGAGAAATTACTGAACACATTTATGGAAGTGGACAAACGAATATTAAATGCAACTTGATGTAAGTTAAGGTCAACCCAATTTGTCTAGAGGGTTGCTAGAACAAATTGAACAATCGTATCTGTGGACCACATAACAAAAAGTGTGATTTGAAGCTAGACTAGTTTATGTTAGTGCTAGGTTGGCTATTCTGGCTTATGTCAACTTTATAATGGCTCAATGCAATCAAAGCTCATCAAAGATAAATAATTCATGATTTTGTATTGTATGTATTATAGTGTTCTCTTGTATCACTAGTCAAGTTTACCAAACTTATCTTTTTGCATGATTAGTCATTATTTGGTTGTCACGTGTTATTGTCACATCATTATTTCACTCATGTGAGCCTTAACCTCTGCCTTAACTGTTTTTGTCCTATTACGACTCCAATGATTATTCGCCAAGTACATAGATTTCTGACTTACCTCTTTTAGCTAAAAGGTTGGTTACTCTACTGAGCCATTACTTCACTGATTTTGAATTTTTGAGAGTGTACTTCGTGAAGGGAATATTGTGGGAATGGTGTTGTGTAGAGATTTTTAAAAACTGTGCAACTAAACTTTGAGAGTACAAATCACCTACCATGCCATATCTAATATGAAATCAAAGTAAGGGCGGAAGCATTAAATAAACTAGGGATTTATGCAAGTCTCATTTGGTCCCAATCTT